TAATTTGAGTCGTAGAATTGAACTATGGATAAAAATTGGCATGTCATTTCAGAAAAAGTTCAACTTTGTGTCAAAATACCCATGAGACCATGGCTATGTATAAATCTAATACATATCCTAAGTCGCACTTTTCAAGACATGAAAAATGCAGGTTGAATTTCATCAATTGGCCCAGTAGAACAGGAGATATAGAACTGTCCTCCCCTTTTTTTCCACAGTGCATTTTTTAAGCATTGTATTCCCAAGCATTTTTTAAGATTGAACTAAATATGCACTAAATATGAATATGTAAGATTGAACTAAGTATGAAAGATCTTTTTTAAAAAAAGGCTTCTAAAAGTCTAATTTTGTATGGAATAATCTCAGTTTACAGATTTTATGTAATCTGAACTAATTTAAAATAAAACTATTTGTTATTTCTTATTGATTCCATATATTTACATTGTGGATTACTCTCTCACAGATAAACGATAGATTAAATAAATAACTTACAGCATGAACGTGGAAAGATTAAAGTTAAAAAAATTTAAAGTATACATTAAAAATGACATAATGAAAACATAAATCACAGGAAATAAAAGAAACGATGTCACCTCCTATATGGATTCTCTATAGGCAAATAGTATGAGAAAAATTCGTTCAAAGTATATTAATAGACTATCATATATTTTCAAGCAGATTGCATCTTTTATTAAACTAAATGAATTAGTTTACTGAATTGACAAATTTGTGTAACACAAATGTTGGTGAAAGTAATCAAATAAATTATATTCTCTAAGAATTACCTGCATCTAAAAAAAAAAAAAAAAAAAAAAATTATTGTAATATATAAAAGAAAATTTTATTAAATAACACTTATTATAACAAGCATTACCACATTCTCCAAAACCATAATAATCTTTTTAGAAGCCAGATACATTTTAACTTAATCTTTTACAATAAAAAAATCAATGTTGTCAAATATTAAAACTTAATTATACTTTTATAAACAAATACTATCAATCCTCCCTCCCCCCCTTATTTGCGTTTAAGGACATAATTAGTCAGTTGAGTCCATAGTTTAAGAACCCATCTTTCAATTTTGCACTAGGCAGCTATTTTGTTAAAATGTCCACTTCTTAAATTTGCAAACACACAAACTGAGGAATGATTTGATTCACTTCACATTCATATTTTATAAAGAAATATTTTTGGTTAATGTGCCTTGAACTATTACTTTGTTTTGGTCTTTTTATCCAATCTATTAATGCTTGACAGTCGGTTCTAATTTCTACTGGTTTGAAAATCAGGTCATCTTGTCCCAATTTGTCAAGTAAATAGTTATACCATTTAACCGTTTGAGGTTCGGAGCATAATTTTTTTTTTTTTTTTGAAAAAATAACTTTACACATAGATACCTAGCCCCTAATACAATGTTATTTCATGCCCCCCCCCCCCGAAAAAAAGGTAAACCTTTAAGGTAATTCATGACATGGTGGGATACCGCTTGTGCCACCGCACACCTACAGCAGTAAAATGGCATCTTTGTCACAGCGTAAATTCTCCTAACATGCTTAAAAGTGCTAGTTTTAGCAACCGAATGAAAATGCAAGATATAAAAAAACCTTTTTTGAATAATGATCTGGAAAATATTGATCATAGTCACAAAATAAATTTTTTTTTCAAAACAAATTACATAATTTTAAAAAAATTTAGCTCTACGTCATTTTAGATATTTTTTAATGATTTCTTAATAGATTTGAAACAGAGAAGATTTTCCCTCCAGTATTTTATTTGCTACAGGTTTGAAAAGGAAGATATTTAGAAGGCTGTCATGATTTACATTTCACCTCTCTTTCCTCTGCATAGGATATTTTTCTATGGTGAATCACACTTACATATCCATTCAGTATTCAATGACATTTCATGTTACAGAGTTATATTTTCATTTCTTTCGGAAAAAATACTAAATATTTTTCAAGTTTTAACATTATTGCAATTTATTAAAAAATATAAATTTGTATTATCAACATATAAAACTAACATACTTGAATTTTAAAATATTTGAATGGTGCTGCCATCTAGTAGCAACAATTCCTACATGCACGGTAGGACGTATTTGGTCTTATACCTTTTAATTTCAACAATTCTTAATATATATATATATATTCAAATAATAGTTTTTTATGAAAGGAAACTTTCACATAAAAATATTCATTCTAACACCAAAAGTTGTTGTTCAGACGATTTAAATTGCATTAGAAATAAATAAAAAAACTGCTTCAAAATTAGACCTGCAAATAATTTTTTACATTATTTCAATGAATGAATACTAGTGCTGCCATCTGTTATACATTTAGAGAACTAAAAGGCACAATTGTATGTATTTTAAATGGAATTTTGCAGCTTTCATCTGGGAAATAAAAAAAGTGGGACGGCAGCGTCTCACATTTTTTAGCGTCCCACCGCCCGTCAAAGAGTTAATTTCACATGCACATTCACAGAATACCAGAACTTCAGCTTCTATTGTAGACAGAGCAACTATTCTTTGTTGAAATTCCAATTTATGAAATTTTTATTTAATTCAATAAAATAACCTAATGATTTTTCATCTTCCTGAACTTGCATCTGAAGTAGCATTTAATTTTCTATTGTCTGAAAAATATTTTAAATATGCATTTTGTTTTTCTTTAATGTATATAAATAGCCTCTTCACTGCTTTCTAGTGTTATTCTCTGGGATCTTTATAATATCTTGACAAATTACTCATGGCAAAAGCAATGTATGGCCTTGTGCCTGTTGCCTAACGCTAAGTATATCAATGAACCTAAAGCCTCCTTATATTTTGCTAGCAATACTGGTGAAGAAAATGATATATTGTCAAGATTTTCACCAAACATTCATGGATTCTTGGCAGGTTTACATGCATTCATTTCTAAATTTTTTAAAATTTTATTTATATAGCTATCTTGAGTTAAGTTTTTCAGATCCTTGCTAGATGTCTAGTCCTAAAAATTTGTGAGTTTTAATGATTTCTTGTAACGTAAATGATTTAGATAGTTAAGAGATTCCGTCATTTATTTCAGAATTTGAATCTCCAATAACCATTAAAGTCATCAACTTATACTGCTACAAAAAGATAGTTGAGCTTATCATTATAAATATGAATACATGGATCTAACTTTAATATAGTTAAATTCCTTTTCGTAAGAACTTTACATAATTCTTCATACCAGTATCTTCCTGATTACAGAAATCCATATATACTTTTGTTCACGAGATATACTTTGTTGGGAATCTGATATAAATCCAGGTGGTTATTCCATCTAAGTATTCATTTAAATGTGTAGTTTTTACATCAAAAAATTTTATTCTGCTGTTTTTGCAAACTGCAATCGATAACGGTGTTTTAAAGGTTGCAAGTCTCATTACTGGACTAGACCCACCTTCACAGTCAATTCCTTTTCTTTGATTAAATCCAGTTGCTACTAGTCTCACTTTGTAAATTGTTTCTAAATTACACTTTTAATCTTTTTTTTTTTTTTTTTTTTTTTTTTTCCAGAATATCCAATGGTTTTTAATACCTTTCTCATGGTTTTCGCAACTGACTCCCAAACTTCATTAGCCTCCAATGAACTCAGTTTTTCTATCATTGCATGTAGCCAAAATTGACTTTCAGCAGATTCTACAGCTTCATCATATGTTTTGAGTAATTCTCCATTTGCATTATGTACCACATAATCTTAAATTTTCTACTGGATTCACTAGAAATTGTATTCATTAATACCAGGCATTCATTAGAAATGCCCAATACTGGCATTTCTAATGAACTGCTTTCATCGTGTTTTTCGTGTTTCGTTGTGCGTTTTGAAATTTTTATTTGATGGTAAAATTTTCTCAGATTTTTCATCTGTTATATCATCTTCTCTATGGTCTTTGTCAGTTATTACTGAATTCTTTGCACTGCCATTATTTTGTTCCTTGTAAAAAAAAAATTCTTCTTCTAATATTTGATTTTTATTGAATTTCAAATTATTTCTTTTTAGTAAAGGTGATCTCAATTTCTTTCTGCTCATTAAATTTTACAACTCTCACTTCTTGGATTTTATTTAGTTCAAGAATATAAATTTTGTATGTGTTTCTCTTCATGCTTATAGCCTACCACGCTTTATAGCCTATTCCTTTTTGAGCTTTTAAATATATCTTTCCATTAGGCTAGCGTCTTCTATATAGTTCATATGGTGTAAACTTTTTGTTATTTTTGTGACACCTGTTATTCACATGTGCAGCTACTTAACGATTTCAGGCCACAATTATGCATCAATCAACATTGTTCTAGCAGTTTCGATTATCGTACGAGATAGCGCATGCAGCGCTGCTGTCAAGCCTGTCTGACAGCTTCTAGTCATAATTCCGAACACCTGTTGTAGTACAACCTTTCAATAAAATGTTTTCTGTCCCATTAATTTGTTGCTGTTTCTGTTCCTTTTCTCAGCTTTTTTGCACCATAGCTTGCAACTACAGCATTTGCGACCCTGCATTCCTATGCAATTCCGAGTCATTGCTGTATCCCCTACACACCCTGCAAGATTGTCAGTCTGGTAGCGAAATTACTCTGTACATATATGTATAGTAATAAATAAAAAAAAACTTTATTAAATAAGACTTATCACAATAAGCATTACCATAATCTGCAAAACCAAAATAATCTCTTTAGATGCCAGATACATTTTAACTCAGTTTTTACAATAAAAAAATATCAATATTGTCAAATATTAAAATACTTTAACAGACAAATACTGTTAAAATTATATTTTATACTTTAACAAACAAATACTGCCACAAACTACCGCAGACTTAGGTGGCAGCTAATTTTATAGGTATTCAATTGATTAAAAATGCATGAAACTATATATTTTCTTTCTGAACTTTACGAATTATCAGAACTTCATACGAATTGCTTAGTTTTTATAGAAATACATTTTTCTCATAAATTCAGAATGACAAGTAAAATAACTCACATTCGAGTTGTTTTTGTTTTATTCACAATGACAGCTGTTCCATTTCCATCTACATAATGATCTAATCCAAAGTAAGCAGCAACTCTATGCACAAGCATTCTGTTGTATGAACTCATCTGAGGAAACTTCATACTCTGCCTTCTGTGTGATAAAAAGAATACTGATAAATTTATACTTATTTGAACAAACACAAAATCCATAAAAAATAGCTATTATTAGAATGAAATAAGGGAACTACTCTTATATGCATCCTCAAGTCGCCAAATTTCTCGAGAAACATTTTTGGCGAGAAACACCATGCTGCCATATTACTATCTAAATTTTTTGTCTACATTTCGAAACTTTAAGCCTAAAATGTCTCCAAAAATGCGGTTTTCACACATGCAAAAACCAAGTTTTGAACAAACAATTTAAGTTTAAAATCCGAAACAAGAACAAAAAATTTAGATAGCAAAAACATAAAGTTTCTAACCAAAAAATATTTGACAAGAATCCATGTACACAGTGCTACGTTTTAACTTTAAAAAAAAATCTACGAATTGCAAAGTCTAGGCAGTGAATGAATCTACGAACTAGGCACACCTCGCTTTGATAAATTAACATAACAATAAATTTCAAAGAATACCATGTACACAGCATTCTGTTTCAACTTTAAAAAACATCTACGAATAGAAATCTAGGCAGCAAAAGAATCTACGAACTGCGCACACCTCGCTTTAATAAATTAACATAACAATAAATTTCAAAGAATACCATGTACACAGCGTTCGGTTTCAACTTTAAAAAACATCTACAAATTGCACAATCTATGCACTAATCAACAAAATAAACTAACTAAAATAAATTTTAAACAATTCAAACAAACAACAATAACGACAGAAATTCATACTAAAAAATAATGAACATAACATTCTACAAAATAAGAACAAAAATAAAATAAAATGCACTTACCATGAATGAATGCTTTTTCGAACAGCAGAAATACCAATTTCATGCCGCCTTTAACATGCCACCACGTAATCACTATCGTATTTATATGACAGCCAGACACGCTATCCAGAAAATTCATACTATGATTCACAAATAAATGTTCGAAACCTTTTTTTCCTAAATCCTTGTAAGATTTCCAGCCATCCGAAAAAAAACGTTGTACAAGGCTCAATCCACTCTTTAATACACTGCATCAGTGTTTCCTTACTTCTATCATGCACAGCCACTAAAAATAATCTCCCAGACCCTCTTGCAACCACGTCTCTCATTGCAACATAGGCCATTTCAAAACACGCACGACACAAACCCACGAGCAATTAAAACACTCCAGCAAAAGAGTATTCAACATCAAAAGGGTTGCCATACAACACGCAATCGCACCAAAAACCAGCGGAAAACACATATAGCCACATTTGCTTATCTTAGGGCGCATATAAGAGTAGAGCCGAAATAAGATATAAAACAGACTTCAGGGCAAAAAAAAAATTTTCTTATAATTTGCCACCTTATAAAATAAAATACTACATAAAGAAGAGGCTATTAAGGTTGCATGCATTATGTTTTAGTCCTTATAAAAATAAGAACAGTTGGCAGCAAACAAGAAATGTAAAACACAGTATTATTGAATTCCTATAAAACCATGGAAAAACATAAACCCAAAAGTAATACTATAAAACGGCATGAAAAGCCTTTATGAAGAGAATGAAACAGGGAAAGAAATAAGCATATAGCATGGACCAATTAATTAGATGTTAGAGAAACACACCAGCATGCATCAAACAAAAGACTTGATTAATGCAGAAATCCTCATTACACTTCAAACTGTGACAGTATTTTGACATACTGATTTATTATTTATCAGTTTTTCAAAAGCATACTGCAATCACAAATCCTGTTCCTTTCACCACATTTAATACATACAGAGAGCTATGTACGACTTTCTTAGGAATGCCTCAAAAAGAAGCATTTTGTATAATGTCAGTATATCAAAATAAATTTTTTTTGAAAAACTTCGCTATAAATTAATCAGAAAAGTGTCAAATTAGAACATAAACTTTTAAGCACTTTATGTTTGCATAATTTAGAATATCTTCGAAATTGGCTTAGAAACTTACTAAAAATGTTCACTATTATACAAACTACATTTTTTCTCATTAAAAACAGAAATGCTAAGATTGCAGCATAAACATATAATTTATTTTGTAACATGTTCATTGGTTTTTAAATTATGCGAACACGTGAAGTGAAAATAATCATAAAATTTTATACTATATTACGACTTGAGGGCTAGACCAGGGTGCAAAACAACAGAATAACAGAAATGGAGTTCACGCGTGAACACAAATTTGTTGCAGATCTATGTATAACTGAAGAAAGGTGTGAAAACACTCTGCATTACTAGAGATTGACCAGTTGGACGAGCATCAGCTCAAATCAGATCACCCTCCCCAAGAGAATTAATTCTCTGAGCGGCACGGGTTTTTGGATATGTCATTAATACCTATATTTAAAGAGCCTTTATTAGCTAAATATGTATATTTATCTATTTTGGTCACTATTTTCATAAACTTACATTCATCAAGATGGCATTTATATTATTAATGAAAGTAAGAAAGCAAAATACATTAAATTATAAGCTAATATATAACAAGTGACAAAATATCTCAAGACCGGATAAAGTCAGTCATGGTACTCAGAGGGTTAAATATAATACTTTCAAAAACATGGAGTAGTTTCATAGTACAGGAGAAATTCATCCTGAAAATAGGCTAACACTCTCAGAAAACACTCTGCAAAGAAGTCACCAGATAACTTTCTCCCATAATCTTAGCTACTTGTCTCTAGTAATGATTTTGCAGCAGTAGGGGTGACAAAGATAAGCAGGTTTACTGTAGGTTGTGGGAGAAAGTTCTCTACATGAGATAAGCTATGGTTTCTGTCCTTACTGTTGTCAAATTATGGTTTCTGTTTCTCTTCTTCACTTGACCTAAGATAAAAGTTACCAGCAACTTCTGTGAAAGCCAAATGAATGGACAAATATTTACTTCATAGATGAGTTGTGACACAGTTTGAACTCTGATTCTCAATGTACTTAAAATGGAATGATTTACGGCCTTACAATATTCCATCATATATTCATGCAGTTGAGTTTTCTTCCTGGAGCGTTTTGCTGTCTGGAAAAGCAACATTATATGCATTTTTCACGCTGGCAACTGCCATGCCATCCTAAATATATTTCAAAGAGTGCAATAAAACCTCATCAAATATATGCTATCTGATTATCTTAAAGTCTGGTCTATTGTTTGAATCCGGTCTATTGTTTGAACGGATTGATCCACAAAGACACTGGACTGAAATTTTGATGAAAATATAACGGCTCTTTTATGAAAGCAGTAATTTCACAAGAATCAAAGCACGGTCTTGTAACACTGGACAAACACTGCACCACATAAAAGTTCCAGAACATCAAACATCATTTTGAACAAATTTGCCCTTTCTCTTAATAATTTTACTGTGCAGCTTGGAAGAATATTAATTGAATAATATATTTATTAAAGTTCCTGTCAAATTCCATTGCATTTCCTTTGTAGCAGAAATGTAATCTTTATTTTCCTAAATTTTGCACAACAATGTTTGAAATACTGTATGACAAAGTTTATGGTTACAATCAGGTACTAGGCTTAATTTCTAATCGAAGTAAACAAAATCAATTTTTTCAAAACAGACATTTCAGAGTTAAAGTACTCTTCAATACTGTTACTAACAAATGAATTTATAAACTATAAAAATCATCCTATTCTTTGGTCTGAAGAATTATAATTACTAAAAATCTATTCCAGAATCACACATGCACTGAATACATTCATGAATTTATGGCAGGAACATTTGACAGCAAATAATTTTGCACTCTCTTTTTATGATCTCAAAAACCAGTTGGGGAGTAGATTTGATCATTCATATTTTAGCTATTGCCATGAAATCTCACTGTGCTTTGAAAAGATTCCCAGGAAGGTTTCACACCATTCCCCCATTCCAGTTACTTATCAAAATTCAGACTCTTATTAAAATAACTTGATTTTGCATTGCTTCTCCTTCGGTTCCCACCAGTAGATGGTGTAAAAGATGACATGACATACTGAGGCCACCCTGTGTTTATCACTACAACCGATCCCCTTATTTATAAGTAATTTTTATAGAAGGCACAGTGAGTGGATTTGTAGAAATATTCATTACGTGGTTTTAACAAAGTTTCTTTTACTTTATTTAGAAGACTATTTCGAAATAGGTTCTTAAGGGGGAAAGAATAAAAAGAAGGCACTTTTATACTGCTGTTTCTAATTGTTTATCAGAGCAGTCTTAAAAATTATACTCTTATTATAATTGTTTTAAGACTTTTAAACTCACCATTTTTGAAGGTATGTACATTAATTCAAATCTTGTTTATTGCCTGTTTTGACAAAATACAAACTGTGGCCATTATGTGATAGTAAAAACTTTCATATGTGTTCTATGAAATTTAGGTATTAGTGTTACACATGGAAAATTTGCAATGGTCACACTGAAATTAAGCTTTTTATATCCGACTTTTAGGTTTATAAATTATTCCATTTGATTTAGCATTAATTATGTATAACTTTCAGTTATGAGAGTATTAATTTGTGTAGTAGAATGTTTTACCATTAACAAAAACGTGTGTGATCGTGAAGTTTCTTTGAAGAGTTTTAAATAGCATTTTTAAATATTATCAACAGTATGCATCAGCTTCTTGGACAATATTTAACCGTTTGAGTTTCACTTGTCGTATGCCAAAAATACAGCACAGCGCAATAGCGCTTTTCTTGTTTTGTATCGAGAATGCAAAGACGCTGCTGTTGGTTAGTATACTTAAAAAAAAAAAAATATTGAAAATTGAAAAAAAATATTGAAATATTCAATTGGTTTCGCATCAGGAGAGGCATGCTTTGGTCCAGGTACTTCAGAAAAAGTATTCGATTCGTTCGAAAAAATTGTATCCATGGGTAAAAACTCATCAATAATATCGTCATCGGAGGTACTTGCAGTTATTTCAGTCACTGCTATCACTCAATAACTCGCTAATCTACTTAGAACGAATGATGATGAAACTATCCACTTTCAAGGTCTTTACTATA